ATACAGAGAGATACTACTGAGTTTTCTCCTTTCTGTACCTCCTTCATTACTTTCTGGAACTTTGTTGAAAGAACATATGAATTTTGTCAAATCCTTTCATACGAAATATCTTACTTTTCATAAATCAAAGAAATTTAAAGTCAGAAGAAATCTTAAATCTCACATAGCTCACTTTTCCTTGGAGTTTGGAAATTCTATCCACGACATACCTAGTCCAACACAGACTGCCTCTAACTCTTGTCTAGATATGTCACATGTTGTCTAGATATGTCAACTCTTGTCTAGGTATGTCAACTGTTGGCTCCCTCCTATGAGGTAAGTGTAATTAGTATATGCCACTGCATGCTACCCTTTAGGGACATCCTCAGATCATCTTCCAGGGAGGAGGTCTACCACTATAAATTCGGTCTAAAGATCCTGTTATACAGAGTGAAGTAAGTCAGAAAGAGAAAACAAATATTGTATATTAACACATATATATGGAATCTAAAAAAATGGTACTGATGAACCAGTACCAATGATAACTGATGTATATTTGCAGGCAGACATAGAGAACGGACTTGTGGACACAGCAGGGGAAGGAGAGGGTGGGATGAATTGAAAGAGTAGCGCTGAGACATATGTATTACCACATATAAAATAGCTAGCTACTGGGAAGTTGCTGTCTAACATAAGGAGCTCAAAACAGTGCTCTGTAACAACCTAGAGGGGTAAGATGGCATGGGGGGGGGGCAGGTGGGAGGTTCAAGAAGGAGGGCAGATTCACAGCCATAAGTGTGAATTCTGGCAAAAATTGTTGTGTGGCAGAAACCAATACAGCACTGTAAAGCAATTATCCTCCAAGTATAAAAACAATAATAATTAAAAAAAAGAATTCACCTTCTAATACAAGGGGTATGGGTTTGACCCCTGATTGGGGTGCTAAGATCCCACATGCTTCACCACCAAAAAACAAAACGTAATATTGTAACTAATCCAATAAAGACTTTTAAAATGGTCCACGTTAAAAAAGAAAAAGACAAGATGGGATCAAATCTAAGAACACATGAGAATGAGCTATGACTTTGAGGAGATATGAGTTGATAATAATGGCTCTGGACAACATTTTACTGAGTATTACTATATATCAGGGGTCAAGACAAATTTAAGTTCTTTATATTTATTAGCCATTTATTTCTCACAACAATCTTATGAAGAGTATTGTCCCCCTTTCCCTGTGGAAACTGAGGCACAGAGTAACTAATCCAGTCATGCAACTAGTAAGTCCAACAGCTAGGGTTTGAGTCCAGTTCATTTGGCTCTAGAGCCTGGGCCCTTAAGTGTGTGCCCGTGTTAAGTCGCTTCAGTCGTGTCCCATTCTTCGAGATCCTATGGACTGAGCCCGCCAGGCTCCTCTGTCCATGGGATTCTCCAGGCAAGACTACTGGAGTAGGTTGCCATGCCCTCCTCCAGGGGATCCTCCTGACCCAGGGATCGAACCCACGTCTCTCACATCTCCTGCATTGGCAGGCAGGTTCTTTACCCCTAGCACCACCTGGGAAACCTATAGTAGACTCTCTCAATAACTGTAACTAAGAATGCCTAAATCATGTGCCAGGTGTTCTTTACTCACTTAACGCTCATATTAACAGTCTTATAAGGCATGTACTATTACAGATCAGCTCAGTAACTTGCCCGAGTTCACACAGTTATGTGAATACTGAAGTTGGAATTCAACTCCAAGTAGCCAGGCTCGAGGTCTGATACTCTTCTTTACTACTCTAAATCCTCTTGCTGCTATGCTCCATGATGATGACAGGGTCAGATACAGAACTTAATTAAGTGCAGGGAAGGCAAAAGATAAGGTGGGCAAGAATAAGACAGGCTCAAGCTGGTGATAGTGTGGAAGGCAATTTTTTATTTTGCTGGCCAGGCTGAATGGCACGTAGAAACTTAGTTCCCCAGCCAGGGATGAAACCTGTGCTCCCTGCAGTGGAACCGTGGTGTCTTAACCACTGGATTGCCAGGGAATTCCACCATGGAGGGAAATTAGTTACCATGCTAACTGGTGTCCAGGACACTCAGAGGACTCCCAATCCCATTCCTTCTTGCTAAGGACCATAGAAAATACAAGTTATTTTTAAACAGATGGAGCCTCAACAATCAGAGAGAAACGCCTCCCTGCAGAGCATTCTGGAAGCTGCCTCTGTGCTGAAAGGAGAGTTACCTTTCCAATCTGGCAGAAGACAATCTCCAACCTTCACTGGATAATGGGGAAATAGAGCTTTCACTGGATAATGTGGAAATGGGGCCTTCACTAGATAATGGAGAAATGGAGCCCTAATGTACTTTGCTATTTTTTGATTTCAAGAAGGGGGTGAGAAGTTTGTAGATACCTGACTGTTTACTGTGAACATGTGGATTGGAGGTACTAATGCGGCAAGTGAAGAAAGGTGCATTTAAAATTCTACCCATTGCTGGGGATCATTTTGAAATGTATAGAAATATGGAAAAAGGAAAACACTATATTGTGCACCTGGAATTAACATGTTATAGGTCATTATACTTCAAAAAAAAAAAAAAGATCTAAAATTAAATTCTATATACCAGATTCACTTTCTGAACAATTGGTTTTTTGTTTTTCTGGTGAACTATGTAGAATGTTTCCTAGTACAGGAAGGTATGTAAAAAGCCTCAGAATAATGAAATGTAAGTTGTGCTAAATATTATGCAAAGCAATTAGTTCGTTTCTCAGAAATCCATAAAATAGACTTTTTAACAGAATGAAGTCCTTTGGATTTAGTTATTCGTTTGTTCACTCGGGGACATCACTAAGTTATCTAAAATAATATCTAAATCAAAGTTTAGAAAATCATATTTGTAGAAGAAATTTGCAAGTTTTTTTAAAAAAGAAATAGATTCACTTACAAAGTAAGTAATTATTTAAAATATACAAAGCTTGTTAGCTGCAATCATTCAGTACATATTTATTGAAAACCTACTGGTAGGTACTGGTCCAAGTTCTCAGTAAACAGCAACAGCATCAATGTAACAGACTTTCAGCCCTGCCTTCAAGGAACTTACATTTTAGTGGGGAAGGAGGAAATAACCAAAAAAAGAAAAGAAGTGTAAAAGATAGGACATTTTAGAGTGTGCTAAGCATTTAGGAGAAAAATAAAGCAGAGGAGGCAGTTAGGGTGGAGTGTGCAATTGACGTAGGATGACTAGAAGACACTAAAATTCCTTACGCTTTAGGATTATGTAGTTTTCACCTTCACTGAGAAGTATCTGATAATAGATTTATATGCTACCAAAATAATGATGTTAAGAAGCAATAAAAAGAAAATGTATCAGGTTTTAGCATTCTAGGTAGCAACACTTTTTAATATTAAACCCATTGTGAAATACCCCTAGTTTCAATTTCACTTTAATAATGAATATGTGTCTAGAAAAATGGTCCATAGACAGCTAGTGCGAAGCTGCTGTATGCCACAGGGAGCTCAGCTAGGTGCTCTGTGATGACCTACAGGCCCGTGATGGGGAGTTGCCGGTAGGCTCAAAACAGAGTGGATATATACATACATATTGCTGCAGTCCATGGGGTCCCAAAGGGTCAGACCCAACTGAGTGACTGAACAACAACAAATAGGTGATTCACATTGTTGTATGGCATAAATAAACAAAACATTGTAAAGCAATCACACTCCAATTAAAACAAATAAATAAACAATGTGAAAGTGAAAGTCGTTCAGTCCACTCCGACTCTTTCTGATCCCATGGGCTGTAGCGCACTAAGCTCCTCTGTTCACGGAATTCTCCAGGCAAGAATACTGGAGTTGATAGCCATTCCCTTCTTCAGGGGCTCTTCCTGACCCAAGGTTCAACCCCAGGTCTCCCTCATCCCAGGCAGATTCTTTACCAGGGAAGCCACTTGAAGTCTTTTCTTTTTTTCTTCAAATTTAGTTTCCCAAGAAGTAGCAGGGCTGAGATTTTCTGTTGTCCAAAGACTTACAAGGCCACGTGCGCTCTTTAAAGCAGGGAATATGTCTGCTTTCTTTTTTTTTATTCCCCAGAGCCCATGATGGTGTGGGGAACATTCCTTTCAAAGCAAGTTTGGTGCCTGGAAGCCAAAGAATGAGTTCAGTTAACTACTAACTGCAAGTGTTGGTGCAAGGGAGACCGTTAAGCAACTGGGCCTGCTCAGACACAATACATCCCCAGGAAATTCCAATTTCACAAGGGCAGATTTCTGAAGAAATCTCTTTACTCGCAACAGAATGCTTTCTTGCGTTTTTCCAATGCCGAGATAGTACGAATTCATGAAACCTGGAGCAGTCTGCTCTCCAGGCAGGGTCTGATATCGACAGACAGCTGCACTGGGCTAAGGAGGCCAAGTTCGTCCTCTGCCAGTATCAGACTTGGCGTTAGGGGAGCCCCTCTAAGCGGAGAGACTGATGGCCGCCTCTTTGTCTCTGCCCTGTCTCCTACCCCCTCGCTCCCCTCCCAAGTTACTCGATCCAAGGGTCGCCTCTCGCCCGTCCGTCCGCCCATCCCCGAGTCTGAGGAGTTCTGCCCACGGCATCCTTCACGGGGGCGATCACCCAGCCGCGCGTCCTCCAGCGTGGCCTTCCTCCTCCGCCACCCGGCAAAATCTGCCCCGCCCTGCCCCTCCGGACGCGCCCCGATTGGCTGTCGCGGGCGAGGGCGCCCGCTGATTGGCCCGCGAGCCGTCACCGCGCGGTGACGCTGCGTTCGCCTACCCGGCCTGGCACCCGGGGGGACGCACGCCCGGGCCGCGCGTGGGGACCAGGACCTCGCCTGCGGACTCAGGCGGCGCGGCTTTGCGGCTTTCGGTTCACACCCAGGCTCCCCGGGCTGGGGAGACCGTCGCAGGAGCGCCGGGCCAAGGGGTAGGAGTTTTGGGGGTGGGTGCAAGGAGGGCCTCGGGGCGCCGTCTGGGGGAGGGGTGCAGGGCTGGGAGGAGAGCGGGGGCGCCCGGCGGCTCCGGGGAGCCTAGGGACATGGCGCGGCCGGACGATGAGGAGGGGACCGCGGTGGCGAACGGACACCCGCCCGCGAACGGATACCTCCCGGTCCCGGGGGACACGCCGGCCGGAAAGGTGAGCGCGGAGACGCAGAACGGGCCCACGGCCGGCTGCCTGGCCTTGAGCGGGGTTTCTCAGGACAGCCCCAAGGCCGCCGCCTCGGGAACCCCGGACGGGCCGAAGACTCCGCTGGCCCCGGAGGAGGAGACCCAGGCCCGGCTGCTGCCCAAGGACCCGGGCGAGGAGACCCCGGGGGGCGAGGGCACCCTGGTGCCCCGGATCGCGCTCTCCCCGAGGCGCTTTGTCGTGCTCCTGATTTTCAGCGCCTACTCCCTGGTGAACGCCTTCCAGTGGATCCAGTACAGCATCATCAGCAACGTCTTTGAGGGCTTCTACAACGTCTCCTCGCTGCACATCGACTGGCTGTCCATGGTGTACATGCTGGCCTACGTGCCCCTCATCTTCCCGGCCACCTGGCTGCTGGATACCAGAGGCCTGCGGCTCACCGCCCTGCTGGGCTCCGGCCTCAACTGCCTGGGCGCCTGGGTCAAGTGCGGCAGCGTGCAGCAGCATCTCTTCTGGGTCTCCATGCTGGGCCAGTGCCTGTGCTCCGTAGCCCAGGTGTTCATCCTCGGCTTGCCCTCCCACATCGCTTCAGTGTGGTTTGGGCCCAAGGAAGTGTCCACAGCTTGCGCCACCGCCGTGCTAGGGAATCAGGTAAGGACTGGGTGATAGGTGAAAATCGAATCCGTAAGGACCGGATAAAACGGTTTAGGCCGCGGGGTCTAGGTATATGGATGAACCCTTAGGAGGCATTCTATAAAGGAAGGAGAGGAGATAAGTAGTCACAAACTAGAAAGCAGTCTCGGATGAAAGAGGGGGGTTGGTTTATTTGTGGAAACAACTTTCAAAACCAGTTTAAAATGACTACCTTGTTATCTCTGAGAATTACCTATAAAGTAATGGTATATGCCCTTAAATGCCTAACATTTATGAGTGCAGCAGTGAATGAGACTAAGGTAGGTATATGTCACCAGTGTATTCTTTGCAAAAGGAAGGTGTTGGAGTCAAGAATTTTGTCCTTAGTTTGAGTGGTCAGTGTGAACAACTTCTGTTTAATGTTATGTATTAGCAGTCAGTGGAGTGCCTGGTACATAGCAGACATTTATAAATGATTGCCAAATATTCTAGTGATAAGGACCTCACAGCATTACTGTGTCCAGTTACCAACTTTTGATGGTGAGAAAGTGCAAGACAAATCACAGATCATGGAATTCATTGTAAAAAGGTGGCTTATTTTGCCAAGTCTCCATTAAGGTGTTTTGTAGACTTTACCAACACCATAGGTTCAAATTCCATTAGCTTTCCAGTAGCATTATTAGGTAAAATATGTGTGTGTGTGTGTACACGCACATGTGTGTTATTTGCAAAATGGTCCTTTTAATGTAATTTAAATTTTGCATATGGAGTCCTATGATATTTTATGTAAATTATATTGAGTGTTCATTCAGCTTGAGAAGAATCAAGTTGAAAAGCTATAACAAAAACGTCACCTCTCTATGCATATATCACTACATGTAGCTATGTAACCCACTCCAGTACTCTTGCCTGGAGCTTTCCAGAGGAGCCTGGTGGGCTACAGTCCAATGGTTGCACAGAGTCTGACTTGACTCAAGTGACTAAGCAGTAACAATAGCAGCTGTGTAACAAAGGAATGTTACTCTCTTGCTTCTGGTCTAACACTTGTTTCAAGATCACAGTAAAATCTATTTAAAATCCATGTAAAGAGGAACTCCACATGTGGGCCTACTGCTTTTATTTATTTCCTTTAAAAGTACAGAAGAAGGGATAGTTTGAAATGTAGTTGTAGTTGTATATTGTATATAGTTGTATTGTTTTGTATTGTATTGTATATATTGTATATAGTTGTATATTGAAAATAACTTGTGACATATTTTAGTTGGTTGCTTCTGCATGTTTGGATAGGATCTGTTTCTTTAAAATATTTCTCATTTACAAAATTATACTCAAGATTAATGCTTCATTGAGCATGATAGAAATATCAACTCCTTGCCTCTGGATTATCTATTCCATGAATAGTAAATAGAAATGTTTTCTTATAGGTTGATTTCCCTCTGACTCAGCGTCATTCTGGGCCTTCCTACTACGTTCTCCCTAAGTGTTCTCATCCTTTCTTGTCTCTAGTAGCTGTGCAATTGCTCATGACCCCCAACTATGCATCTTTAGCCAGCCAGAGATTGCCCCAGCAGTGAAAGCATGGAGTCTTAACACTGGACCATCAGGGAATTCCCAAGAGAACCTTTTTTATTTATTTATTTGGCTAGTCTTAGCTCTGATGTGTGGGATCTAGTTCCCTGACCAGGGGTGGAACCTGCACCCTCTGCGTTGGAAGCTTGGAATCAACCACTGGGCCACCAGGGACTTTGTAAAACATAGATCAGATCATGTCATAACTGTGCTTTGAACTCTCCAGTGATTTTTCATAGTAATTAAAATAAAATCTAAATTCTTTACTCTGACAAAACTTTACTAATATGTTTTTGGTTGCTTAAACAACACTAAGCTTGCATTTTGCATAAGGGCCTTTGCAAAAACATTCTTTCTGCCTGGAAGGTTCTTCTTCATAGGATCACATTGTTACAACTTTATTATCATTCTGCTCTCAGTTTAAATTCATTTTAAATATCATTCAGTGGCATTTCTTGAGGATCCCATTTAAAGTTGCCCAGTCAATCTGTTATTATACCATTGTTCTTTAATCCTGTGTGTAGTGCTTATCACTATCTGATATATTTATAAAAGTGTTAGTCGCTTAGTCATGTCCAACCCTTTGTGACCCCATGAACTGTAGCCCGCCAGGCTCCTCTGTCTGTGGAATTCTCCAAGTGAGAATACTGAAGTGAGTTGCCATTTCCTTCTCCATGGTATCTTCCTGACCCAGGGATCAAATCCAGATCTCCAGCATTGCTGGCAGATTCTTTACCATCTATAATTGTTAATAATTATTCATTTCCCATCCCCACCATTAGATGCTCAATTTCATTAAGAAGGCACATAGTCTGAATGTACAGCATTTACTATAGTGCCTGGCACATTGTAGTTTCTCCGTAAGAATGTATTCAATAAATTAATGAGCTTCAGACTCATATAGATACTGGTCAGCCAGATATTCCCACTTGACTCTCCTACATGACCCCACCAATCAAAATTTGCCTTGTCTTCTAGCTCATTGCTCTCCATTTCTAGGGCCACATCTTAGCCTTGGCCACCTGCAGCTGTCACCTAGAGCTTTGCTAACTGATTTTCCTATCTGCAGCTCTTGGTTTCTTCCCTCTAATTCTCCACATTCATCCAGTGTGGTCTTTCTAATGTGCAAATCTGTCCTGGGCACTCGCTTGCCCTGCCTGCATTGTCTTCCATTGCCCTTAGGGGAAAAAAGTCAAACTCTCTTAAGGTGACAAAGTGAGACTTCCTGTTCTGCCTTCTGCCAGTTGCTCAGCATCACCTGTCTGCAGCCCCCATTCCTTACATACAAATGCTTCCTCTGCTCTGAGGGAAATTGGGCCCTACTTCCAGTTTCTCAGGGCTTCCCTGGTGGCTGAGACAGTAAAGAATTTGCCTACAATGCAGGAGACCTGGGTTTGATCAGTTTCACATAAGGTCATGCTCTTTGTTTCCTGTGTACATGATGTCCTTGACTGGGAACATTTCTTTTTCACTTGGCTAACTCTAACTTCTTATCTGGATCTTTGCCCCTTCAGAAATTTTTCTGGAACCCCAAGTCTATATAAGACGCTTCTCCAAAGTACTCTCTTGACTAAGGTGACCATATGTTCCAACTGGCCTGGAATAGTTCAGGTGTACACCTGTTGTCCAGCACAACTGCTTGTGGAGTTCCCTTCACTCCGACTAGTATTCTTGCTTGGATGATCAATTACACGATCCTGACAGTCTTGACAGCCTCTCCTTCTCATCACAGTTCTGCACTTACCACACTCGTAATTACACATTTAATTGTCTCTATCAAAAAACCTCTTGATGAAAGTGAAAGAGGAGAGTGAAAAAGTTGGCTTAAAGCTTAACATTCAGAAAACTAAGGTCATGGCATCTGGTCCCATCACCTTATGGGAAATAGATGGGGAGACAGTGGAAACAGTGTCAGACTTCATTTTGCGGGGGGGGCTCCAAAATCACTGCAGATGGTGATTGCAGCCATGAAATTAAAAGACGCTTACTCCTTTGAAGGAAAGTTATGACCAACCTAGATAGCATATTAAAAAGCAGAGACATTACTTTGCCAACAAAGGTCCGTCTGGTCAAGGCTATGGTTATTCCAGTGGTCATGTATGGATGTGAGAGTTGGACTGTGAAGAAAGCTGAGCACCAAAGAATTGATGCTTTTGAACTGTGGTGCTTGAGAAGACTCTTGGTAGTCCCTTGGACTGCAAGGAGATCCAACCAGTCCATCCTAAAGGAGATCAGTCCTGGGTGTTCATTGGAAGGACTGATGCTGAAGCTGAAACTCCAGTACTTCGGCCACCTCATGCGAAGAGTTGACTTATTGGAAAAGACCCTGATGCTGGGAGAGATTGGGGGCAGGAGGAGAAGGGGATGACAGAGGATGAGATGGCTGGATGGCATCACCGACTCGATGGGCATGAGTTTGAGTAAACTTCAGGAGCTGGTGATGGACAGGGAGGCCTGGCATTCTGCGATTCATGGGGTCGCAAAGAGTCGGGAGACGACTGAGCGACTGAACTGAACTGAACTGATCCAGCTTTTTATAGGGAGAAAGTGAAATATTTGGTGAGTGTTACTGTCTCTGCCTCAGCCTCCATTTTGAAACCTATCTTGGCCCTTCTCACCTTCAAAGAATAGGATGTCTTGCCCCGTTGAAGCTCCTTTAATATCTTGGTTTTATTTCTCTTGTTGTGATTATCATAGTCAGCACAATTTTATTTTACTGAGGTGAAATTCACATAAAATTAATCATTTTTAAGTGTACATCTGTGTGACGTTTAGTCCATTCACAGTGTTGTACAGCTATCACCTCTAGTTCCCAAACATTTTCATCTGCCCTCAAAGAAGACCCAATTCCACTAAGCAATCACTCCTCATTTTCCCCCTCTCTCTAGCCCCTGGCAACCACTAATCTGCTTTTTCCTTATGGATTTCCCTAGTCTAATACTGCATATAAATAAAATCATACAGTATGTGACCTTTTGTGTCTGGCTTCTTTTAGCATGTTTTCAAAGTTCATCCATGCTACAGCATCTCTCGGTATTTCATTCTCTAAATAATGTTTCATTGAATAATATAGCATGTTTTGTTTATTCATTGATGGACAGTTTGGTTGTTTCCACCTTTTGGCTATTGCAAATAAGACTGCTTTGGATATTCATGTGCAATATTCAATACCTGTTTTCAGTTTGGGGGGTATATACCTAAGAGAGGAATTACTAGGTTATATAGTAATTCTGTGTTTAACTTTTTTAAGGAACTGCCAAGTTGTTTTCCTTGGTAACCATGCTGTTTGCAATCTTATTAACATTGTACAAGAGTTCCAGTTTCTTCACATCATAACAACATTTGTTATTTTCTGGGTTTTTAAAAAAATTATAGCCATTCTTGAGATTAATCCTTTGTCTGTTGCTTCATTTGCTATTATTTTCTCCCATTCTGAAGGCTGTCTTTTCACATTGCTTATAGTTTCTTTTGTTGTGCAAAAGCTTTTAAGTTTCATTAGGTCCCATTTGTTTATTTTTGCTTTTATTTCCAACATTCTGGGAGGTGGGTCATAGAGGATCCTGCTGTGATTTATGTCAGAGAGTGTTTTGCCTATGTTCTCTAGGAGTTTTATAGTTTCTGGTCTTACATTTAGATTTTTAATCCATTTTGAGTTTATTTTTGTATATGGTGTTAGAAAGTGTTCTAGTTTCATTCTTTTACAAGTGGTTGACCAGTTTTCCCAGCACCACTTGTTAAAGAGGTTGTCTTTTTTCCATTGTATATCCTTGCCTCCTTTGTTGAAGATAAGGTGTCCATAGGTACGTGGATTTATCTCTGGGCTTTCTATTCTGTTCCACTGATCTATATTTCTGTCTTTGTGCCAGTACCATACTGTCTTGATGACTGTGGCTTTGTAGTAGAGTCTGAAGTCAGGCAGGTTGATTCCTCCAGTCCCATTCTTCTTTCTCAAGATTGCTTTGGCTATTCGAGGTTTTTTGTATTTCCATACAAATTGTGAAATTATTTGTTCTAGTTCTGTGAAAAATACCATTGATAGCTTGATAGGGATTGCGCTGAATCTATAGATTGCTTTGGGTAGTATAGTCATTTTCACAATATTAATTATTCCAATCCATGAACACGGTATATTTCTCCTTCTATTTGTGTCCTCTTTGAACAAGCTTCTGAATAACCAACAAATCATAGAAGAAGTCAAAAAGGAAATCAAAATATGCATAGAAATGAATGAAAATGAAAACAACAACCCAAAACCTATGGGACACTGTAAAAGCAGCGCTAATGGGAAGGTTCATAGCAATACCAGCTTACTTCAAGAAACAAGAAAAAAGTCAAATAAATAACCTAACTCTACACCTAAAGCAACTAGAGAAGGAAGAAATGAAGAACCCGAGGGTTAGTAGAAGGAAAGAAATCTAAAAATTAGGGCAGAAATAAATGCAAAAGAGACCATAGCAAAAATCAACAAAGCTAAAAGCTTGTTTTTTGAAAAGGTAAATAAAATTGATAAACCATTAGCCAGACTCATCAAGAAACAGAGAGAGAAGAACCAAATCAACAAAATTAGAAATGAAAATGGAGAGATCACAACAGACAACACTGAAATACAAAGGATCATAAGAGACTACTACCAGCAGCTATATGCCAATAAAATGAGCAACTTGGAAGAAATGGACAAATTCTTAGAAAAGTATAACTTTCTAAAACTGAACCAGGAAGAAATAGAAGATCTTAACAGACCCATCACAAGCATGGAAATCGAAACTGAAATCAGAAATCTTCCAGCAAACAAAAGCCCAGAACCAGATGGCTTCACAGCTGAATTCTACCAAAAATTTAGAGAAGAGCTAACACCTATCTTACTCAAACTCTTCCAGAAAATTGCAGAAGAAGGCAAACTTCCAAACTCATTCTATGAGGCCACCATCACCCTAATACCAAAATCAGACAAAGATGCCACAAAAAAAGAAAACTACAGGCCAATATCACTGATGAACATAGATGCAAAAATACTTAACAAAATTATAGCAAACAGAATCCAACAACATATTAAAAAGATCATACATCATGACCAAGTGGGCTTTATCCCAGGAATACAAGGATTCTTTAATATCTGCAAATCAATCAATGTAATATACCATATTAACAAATTGAAAGATAAAAACCATATGATTATCTCAATAGATGCAGAAAAAGCCTTTGACAAAATTCAACATCCATTTATGATAAAAACTCTCCAGAAAGCAGGAATAGAAGGAACATACCTCAACATAATAAAAGCTATATACGACAAACCCACAGCAAACATTATCCTCAATGATGAAAAATTGAAAGCATTTCCCTTAAAGTCAGGAACAAGACAAGGGTGCCCACTCTCACCACTACTATTCAACATAATTTTGGAAGTGTTGGCCACAGCAATCAGAGCAGAAAAAGAAATAAAAGGAATCCAGCTAGGAAAAGAAGTAAAACTCTCTCTGCAGACAACATGATCCTCTACACAGAAAACCCTAAAGACTCTACCAGAAAATTACTAGAGCTAATCAGTGAATACAGTAATGTTGCAGGATATAAAATTAACACACAGAAATCACTTGCATTCCTATACACTAACAATGAGAAAACAGAAAGAGAAATTAAGGAAACAATACCATTCACCATTGCAACAAAAAGAATAGAATACTTAGGAGTATATCTACCTAAAGAAACGAAAGAAACGACCAGAAATACACAAGCAACTCCTGCAGCTCAATTCCAGAAAAATAAATGACCCAATCAAAAAATGGGCCAAAGAACTAAACAGGCATTTCTCCAAAGAAGACATACAGATGGCTAACAAACACATGAAAAGATGCTCAACATCACTCATTATCAGAGAAATGCAAATCAAAACCACAATGAGGTACCATTACACGCCAGTCAGGATGGCCGCTATCCAGAAGTCTACAAGCAATAAATGCTGGAGAGGGTGTGGAGAAAAGGGAACCCTCTTACACTGTTGATGGGAATGCAAACTAGTACAGCCGCTATGGAGAACAGTATGGAGATTCCTTAAAAAACTGGAAATAGAACTGCCATATGACCCAGCAATCCCACTCCTGGGCATACACACCAAGGAAACCAGATCTGAAAGAGACACGTGCACCCCAATGTTCATCGCAGCACTGTTTATAATTGCCAGGACATGGAAGCAACCTAGATGCCCATCAGCAGACGAATGGCTAAGGAAGCTATGGTACATATACACCATGGAATATTACTCAGCCATTAAAAAGAATTCATTTGAATCAGTTCTAATGAGATGGATGAAACTGGAGCCCATTATACAGAGTGAAGTAAGCCAGAAAGATAAAGACCAATACAGTATACTAACGCATATATATGGAATTTTAAAAGATGGTAATGATAACCCTATATGCAAAACAGAAAAAGAGACACAGATGTACAGAACAGACTTTTGGACTCTATGGGAGAAGGCGAGGGTGGGATGTTCTGAGAGAATAGCATTGAAACAAGTATACTATCAAGGGTGAAACAGATCACCAGCCCAGGTTGGATGCATGAGACAAGTGCTCAGGGCTGGTGCGCTGGGAAGACCCAGAGGGAAGGGATGGGGAAGGAGGCTGGAGGGGGGATCGGGATGGGGAACACATGTAAATCCATGGCTGATTCATGTCAATGTATGGCAAAACCACTACAATATTGTAAAGTAATTAGCCTCCAACTAATAAAAATAAATGAAAAAAAGTAAATTATAGCCATTCTAGTGGGTATAGTTTTGATTTGCATTTCCCCAATAACTAATAATATTGAGCATTTTTTCCTATGCATGTTGGGCATTTGTATATCTTCCTTGGAGAAAAGTCTGTTCAGGTCCTTTGCCCATTTTTGAATTGGGATGTTTGTCTTTCTTGTTGTTGAGTTGTAAGAGTTCTCTATATGTTCTGCATAGTAGAGAGTTATCAAATATATGCTTTACAGATATTTTTTCCCATTCTGTAGCTTGTCTTTTCTCAGCATTTTGTGTGTGTGCATGTGTATTTTTATTCTCTTTTTTGATTTAAGTAGCCAAAGGGTAAGGAGTGTATCTTACACAACTTTATAGCAGCATCATTTAAGTGATTGCAGCTTAGTAAATATTTATTGAATAGGGAAGACATTTGTCAGCAATTTTCCTTTAATAGTAGAATGGTAAAAACACGTAAGAACATGGTTCTTTAGAGCTTACGAAAGCACCTTACACATACTTGTGGTTTTTTTTTTTTATGTAGTTACCTTTTTCTCTTATAATAAGAAGAATTAACAGAACTGTTCATTTTACAGCTTGGAACTGCAGTTGGCTTTTTGCTGCCACCAGTTTTAGTGCCCAACACACAGAATGACACGCAACTGCTTTCTTGTAATATCAGCACCATGTTTTATGGAACATCAGCTGTCGCCACACTTTTATTTATTTTAACAGTAATTGGTAAGTGAGTTACTTTCCCTAAAGCTTAACTAGATAAGTGCATGACAAACATAGGAAAATAAAAATAACCGACCCTGAAAACTTGTACAGATAATATCTCAAGTGCTATTTGCCTCTTTCATCCTCGCTGTTCACTTTCTTGATTAGATCATGAATGCTGCAACCCTAGGGATATGCTGTGGTCCATTACATCTGTCTTAATACTGCACAGGGTTGGAAGACTAATTCATCTCATTTATCTCCCTACTAATTTTTCTTTCCTGATAACTGTTGGTTTCAATCATATTACCTGCCTCCTCTTTGCATATCCGTCTACACATTCTGCATCTTAGACACTAACTTCGCCAGGAATAAGTTCTTGTCATGCTTTGTAATGATGCAAATAGGCTGTCACCTTCCTTTGAATGATAAATCCTTCCAGGGATCCCCAATTTAACAATTAACTGGATCTGACAATGTTGGCCAGAGAATGATCGTGGGCAGCAGCAAGCCGCTCAGCAGAATTTCAAACTGTGGCAACTGTCTGCTTGTCAGGCCGCTCCAGCAGACCTCTGCTGTTACCACTCGTCCCCGAGTCCTCCCGTCCGGGCCTGTCTCTTGAAGCAGTCAGTCAGGATCAGCTGCAAGCAGCCGTCAGCAGTTTGGAAGACGGTTTGGGAAGGTCTGCTATTTAAAGTTTGTTTTTCATGGGAAATAGTTTTGATTTCAGGGGAAAGAGTAGGTGAGGCTTACTTAAAGTAATGCAGCTGCTAGCGTGACTTTTGGGCACTCAGTGTATCTTAAATGGATTTGAAGAAGAAAGGAACCATAAAGATGAAAGGCTATCTTTTAGTCATTAAAATTTATAGTTAAATTTCATTACAGCTGGAGTTTTAAATTTTATATATTAATTTTTACCATGGTTATTATAGTAATGAGAAATACAAGTTTTATGATCACCAGATTAAAAAATCCTCAGTTTTCAGAGAAAGTTAATGTTTTGATAGAGATCACCTTTAGAGATGAACTGCTGGACCCAGGGAGAGGGAACTTAGGCCACATATTTAATTTCCCTTAAAATAATGAAGAAAATATTCTCTTGGTAGCATTTATAGTCTTCTGACATGTCCAGGCTACCTGTGGTTGGTTTTTATGTTCCAGTTAGGAAGTAGCATGTTTGCTGTGTGCTGACTACTGAAAAAGGACAAATTATGCCTTGTAGTCTTTTGGCAGTGTAACAAAATTTTAAAAGAAATCTTTATTTTTAAAACAAACAAACAAACAAAAATAAACAACAAATACCTCCATCTACTTTTCTGGTATCCCTATTTGATTTGCTGGATGAAATATGAAATATAGTTTATATACATTTTGCATAAATGGATCTTCCATTAGCAATAGGAATTATTAAAATATAAAATCCTCTTTCCTTTGATTGCTGTGTATCTTTGCATAAATTCTGGTTTTCCTTTTTTTATTGCCTCAATTGCTTATCTCTTTGGAAGAAGTGAGAGTAATAGATTGTATATAAGATATCTCTAGATATAAAATCATATATATGACACATATGTATTTAAACATATATATATATATATATATATGAGATGCTACAAAAGCAAGATTTTCATTTGTCAAAGGAGTAGGACAAAAAATAATAATAGGTGTGACCATTGGCCTATCACCTTGTGTTATTTAAGAAATTAAAAGAGAGCTATTCATGTATATAATTACTTATTTATATACTTATGGCTTATGAATAGACAGTGGAAGTGGAAATGGGAGGGAAGAATGAAAAAAAATGGAATGGAAATGAAATAGGAATAAAAGGCTTGTTGTCAAGTTTTGTTTGGTGACCTGTAATCTTATGATACTAAACGTAGTATATAAAAGCAAGATAATATACAGTTGTGTTATGCAAATCTAGTTTAAAATTGTGACATTTAAATGTAAAATGTACCTGTTTTCCTTATAACTAAATAATTCCTCTTGAGGAAAATCTGGTTTACTTAAAAACCCACTTTCTTAAAATTCCTCAATTATTAAGGCAATCCTACTTTCTTCTAAATTCTACCCATAAATACTTTGGAAACCCAACCAAATCTTATAAAATAATTTAATTTTGCTGATGCTTTTCAGCAATGTGACATATACCAAATTGGTATTGAGCATTCTTCCTAAAATACTAACTTGAGGATTCATGCCATGTAATCCTATTACCCTCTGTAATTGTAATCCATCTAGCATTTCTAAGAATTAACCCTAACCTTCCACTGAATTTCATACTAATACCCCATTTTTATTGGGAGAACACTATTATTGTCTCTAACATTTGATTTATATGCCCTAAATATGTTTAAAAGCATGCTACATGGTGTATTTCATTTAATCTTCACAGCCCTATAAGGGCAGTACTGTATTATCATTTCTGTTTTATAGATGAGGAAACTGGGGCACAGAATTTAAGTAAATTTAACTTACCCATGGTCACAGTTAATAAATGCTAAAGACAAAAATTGGAGCCTAGGCAGTCTAATTCCATTAATAAAATGTTACTTACACAAACATATCATTTTAATTTTTACTTAGTCTGATTTTTTGTTTCAATTCAGATTCCTTTTGTGTAAATGGTAATGATAATGTATTTGAAAGTTGTTGTTATGCAGATCGGTAAACTGTATCACTTAAGTATGTCAGTTAAAATCCTTATCATCCTGATTCACTGAAATGAGTAGATGACAGAAATCAAAAGTTAACGGCAGTCAAAATATTTAATATTAAAATTTTAAAATATTTGAGTATATAACATATATACATAATTTTACTTTTTGATTCTTATATTCAAGATATTTATATATTGGTTGCTATTATAAACTTCTAATAGAAATACATTTTACATAGTCTATAAGAATTTCAAGTCTGAGAAAAGTCTCTGATTTTATTTTTAAAAATTATTTATTTATTTATGGCCACACTGCACGGCATGTGGAATCTTAGTTCCCTGATTAGGGATAGAACCATTGCCCCCTGCAGTGGATGTGCCGAGTCCTAACCACCGGACTGTCAGGGAGTTCGCTGAAAATTCTGATTTTTAAAAATAAATATTCCTCAAAAGGACAATGCTCAATAATTATAAAATTCTTTTACATCATTTGTATCATGTAATCCTCATACCAGCTTGTTGTTATTATCTCCATTTTATGGATGAGAAAGCTATATAGCTGAGAAGCAGGAATTGATTTCTTCAGAGTCATATAGTAAGTTGAGGCAGAGTCAAGATTAAAACCTGTGTTTGTCTTATAATAAGTTAATATGTGTAATGTCTGCTTGAATCACACAGGTACAAATAATGAAATCAAGAGATAATATTATAATCTGATTTTAAAAAATAGAAGTGGTCCTAAATACAGTAGATTTGTTACTTATTCATCACAGGAGAAAAAGTTTGAATGTGTTGCCCAAAAACCCTTTGGCTACGTTCCATGCCTATTGCCAAGGGTGGAGAGTAACAGTTTTATTAGTTAATTATTTTATTTGCACAACTTTTTGGTGGGGAGAAGGTAGAAGTCTATTTTTCAAAGGAGAAAGAAAAAGGCATATTTTATCTTTTGAAAGGAACAATGCAGCATAAAAAGGGTGATAGATCAATGGTTTTTTGATTCTTCTTTTTCTTCATAGACTGAAGCCTGACTTTACTATATTGCATAGCTTGTAGATAAAGGCTTGATTTTATCCAGGAGAGCAGCTAACTTCCTGAAACTAAGAGATAACCCTTGTGTTGACAAAACAAGTCTAATGGAGTTATAGACTACCAGAACTTGTTTTCATTTTGCATTTGAGTTCAAATCTGAGCCATTTAGACTTATTTTACCATAGTAGATAAAAAATCTTAGAGACTTAAGACTCACTGAACACCCATGACTATGTCATAAGCATAGTTTTTACATTCTGAAATGTTGTTTTAAACCATGTGAGTTGTTTTACCAATATTAATAAAAAGAGATATCTCCTGTCTTAACTAGGATGCAAAGAGGCTTTCAGGAAAGGACAACAGACGTCCTCAACAGTGCAAGGAGCAGATAGGGTGAGAGGAAGAAGAGGGATTGCAGCTACTTAAACGTTTTATGTCTACCAGCCCTCCAGTATAAGGATATTAAAAAAGTAAATATGAGTTATATCTCTTCTTGCATTAGTTGTAAGACCTATAATAGTAGAAGTCTTTTAGCTCAATGTTTTCTTTGTATCATAATTAATCCATGGTTTGATGAGCAAAGAAGTGTAATTTTTCAGTTTTTTAACAGCAGATAGAATTAGAGAATTAAAATATTGTGTACAAGTTTAAGAACAGTTTCTTTCTCTTGCATTAATTTTCAAACCTGGCTGGGTGTTGAGTTTTGTGTTTAATGCAGATTCTAAGGTTCTGTTCTAGACATTCTGACTCATTGAGCCTTCGGTAGACTCTCAAAATCTGTATTTTTAAAAAATTTCTATGTGATTACAATCGACAGTCAGGTCCATCAGATCTAGCCCACTGTCAAACTACAAAGCAGGCCTTCTTTGTTGGAAGAAAGAAATAGCCACTGTTTAAAGAGAAAGAGGAAGTTCTAATATTTTAGAAAAGATTACTTTATTCTTAATCCATCAGTGACATCTAAGATGAAAAAGTTCTAGAGATCTGCTGTATAACATTATGCCTATAGTTAACAATACTTATTATACACTTAAAAGTTTGCTAAGAGGACAGATTTCAAGTTAAATATTCTTGTATCAGTAAAAAAAATACCAGTGGCAAGTAACATTGGTGGAAATCAAGACATGATTATGTGAAAACTATATAACCGTGTTGATGTCTGCCAACATCATTGAGTGCCAACATCAGACCATTTTAGATTCAGTGAAATACAGCATTTCCCATCTATTTTAATTTAAAATTTTGAGTCAATACCAAAACTAGATTTTAATTTCTGGAGTACCAGTCTTAGCAGATCAGCTCTTCTAGCAAAAAGTCTTGATTCCCAGCTAGCAAAACCCTACAGAAATCTCTCCTTTGCCATCTGTTGCAGGAAGTTGGTAGATCCTCCCTTGCTCAGCAAAAGGACAGTCTATAAATGTCTGGCTGAGAAGGTTGTGTGATCTAACTGCATAGAAATGAGCAGTACTAGAACTTAAGATCTCAGAAACCATGTATCATACTTTTATTTCTCTCAGCTCTACCCCTGGATTTTCCATATGCAGCCAACGTGGGTCAGCAAGCAGGACCTAGCCCTGCTCCAATGAATCCTCTTGGACCTTTTCAGTTCTAGAAATAATAAACTTTATATCAGGTTTCAGAAGAAAAGAGGTACTAACTCAAGCCAGTCATCTAAAAGCTCAGTAAGATATTGGCTTACTCATATCTAACCTTATCTCTAATTACAAATTGAACCAAGTTTAGAAATAGAATACTTAACATAATAAAAATTAATCTTGCTTAACTAAACTTGGAATAATCCCTGGGCAAAGTTTAACATAGTATTATTGATAGTTTTGTAGTTCAGTTATGTGAACTGGCCAAATCTCTGAGTTTTAGTTAGTCTCAGAGGGTTGAGATGATAACACCAAACTATTCTTCACTTAGAAATTAGTGAAAATGAACAGCCTTACCACAAAAGACTTTTAGTACCTCTTTAAACTTAAACTAAATTTAGTCTGCTCACTAAGGAAGACACGTATATTGAATTATCTTTTCGTGTATGTTTCCAGCATTCAAAGAAAAACCTCGGTATCCTCCAAGCCAGGCTCAAGCAGTTCTCCAAGACAGTCCACCTGGAGAGTACTCCTATGTGAAATCAATAAGAAACCTATTTAAAAGCATTCCTTTTGTCCTTTTATTGATCAGTTATGGTAAGTGGTTTCTTTTATTTTTGTTCATGTCTGTGTAAACCTTTGAGCATTGCAGATTCTTTTCCTTTAGTGGTTTGAGTTTTAATTAATGAGATAATGAAATAGGTTTATTAACTCTATAATAATAGCATAGTCATAAACTTAAATTTTGAACTAAAAGCAAAAACTTAAGAATGGGCTTTTTAACGTGTTTTTAAAACAATAAAAACAATTTATAGCTATTAAAGACAGAAGTACTTTCTTCTTTAATGAGTTCTCCCAGGGTATTTTTAGGTCCTTTATGAATTACTGTTCTGACTGCCATAAGGAAAATGTCATCAATAATTCCTTTCTTTGACCTTATGCAAACTGTCATCTAACTGGAGTAGTCTATCAAAATCTCATCCTTTCAGCATAGCAGGCAGATATTCCTCCTAACACTGTAGCTTTGACTGTAGGCACCAACAGATTTGTTCTGTTTATTCTTTATTTCTTATATTAACACTGTTTGTTAACCAGTACCCCCTATTTCTGTCTTACTTGCCTTCAGATGTCACTGTGATTGTCTTTATATTTTCAGGTGTGGGGAGGGGGTGCACTAGAGGAAAATTCACCCCGTAGCTGAGGAAGAAGCGTTTGATAGAATACAGTACCCATTGGTTAAAGACTCTTAGCCATCTGTGAGAAAAATAAACTTTCTGAACCTGACAGAGTTTATCTGCAAAAACCCTGTAGCAAACATCTTTCCAAAGACAGAAGCTCAGAAGCATTACCCTTGAGAATCAATAAGAAGTATCCCTTAGAACAAGGATGCTTATTGTCACCACTTCTGCTCAGCATCCAATTGAAAGTCCTGGCTGGCCCACTAATACAGGAAAAATTAAAAGTACATGAATTGGAAAGAAAAAAGATGCTTTATTCACAGATAACATGACTATATATATCAGAGGTCAGCAAACTGTCTTATGAGCCAAATCTGGCCATTGCCTGTTTTTATAAATAACATTTTATTTACTTACATATTTTCTGCTATGGCTGCTTTTGAACTACAAGAGCAGCACCAGGTAGCCACATCAGAGACCATACAGCCTGCAAAGCTAAAAGTATTTACTGTCTCCTATTACAGAAAATGCTTGCTAACCCCATGGTCTACAAAATAATGCAAGAGAACCTACATTCTCTGTTAGAACTAATAATATTAAATAAATAACAATGTGAAAATATCAACTGCATTCCTATAAAAAGATATAATAGCAGCCAGAAGTATAAGGTGCCTGGGAACAAATCTACTAAAGAGAACTTCATGTAGATCAACTATGCTAGTACTGTGCTCAGTTGCTCGGTCATGTCCGACTCTTTGCGACCCCATGGACTGCAGTCTGCCAGGCTCCTCCATCCATGGGATTCTGTAGGCAAGAATACTGGAGTGGGTTGCCATGCCCTCCTCCAGAGGGTCTTCCCAACCCAGGGATTGAACCTGAGTTTTCTGCGTCTCCTGCATTGGCAGGTGGGTTCTTTACCAGTGAGCCACCTGGGGAGCCCCCAAATCAGCTATACTTAAACTTAAAAGAAGGACTTTATACATTATAAAACACTGAAAGATGTAAGAGAAGACCTAAATTAAGTGGAAGGATATACCATGTTTATGGAGGACTCAACATTGTAATAATGCCAGTTAACCTTACAGGACCACTGTATTAACAAATGCCAGTTGTAGATTTGGGTTGAGGGAAAGGTCAGACACATACAGAGGCTCTGGAAACTGAGCAGAGTTTACCTGTTGAAGGAATTAGAAAGAATGAGTTGAGGAACACTGTAGAGAGTTCAGCAACATTCCCTAGAACAGCTGGAGAAGCTCGTTGACTTGATGTTCATCGCCAAAGGGGTCTTAATGTCTAAATGCGTAAGGGTCATATCCCACCATTTAGAAGTGTACTTGTCTGCTCCATCCATACCTAGTATTATTTTGTAGAAAAGATTGGGGCAGACTTGCACATAGGATAGTTTGGCTAGGTACCACACTCCTAGGACAGATTTTCAGTGTCCAAAACTCAAGAAACCAGAAAGACTGAGAAACCGGTTTTTTGTGTTTTTTTTGGCATCAGGGCTATTTGGAGAAACTTGTCATCACTTATGTCCCAACTGTAGCTACTTGCTATCTGAAACTCAGACAAGTATCTCACTTTAGATTCAGGTAACAATACTCCTTGCTGTATAATTCTTTATCCAGACTCTGGCTGCCCTCACTGAGGCTGGAGTAGGAGTGAGACCACCACAGGGCACCGTGCACTAGAGTAGGCTCAAGCCTCAGCACAGGCCTCTTTTTTTCCCTTGGCCTCCTCAGCCTAAGCTGACTGGGTCTCTGCATTCCCGAGCTCAATGGGAAGTGAGTAACAAAGGCTCGCTACCCAGGGGTTTTTGATAAGATCTCTGGACATAGGCCTCATCTAGCAATCTCCAACTTAAAACAGGGTTTGTAATGGAACTTGGCTAATTATAAGATTCCTGTGAAAGAAGTAAGGGCCAAGAGCAACAAAGATAGTTTTGATAAAGAACAAGGTGAGGAATTAATTCTCAGCTATCAAGGTTTCTAGAGCAGTGGTAATGAGATGTCATGCATTAGTAAGGGATAGACAGTTAGTCTATCACAAAGAGTTGGACACGACTGAGCGCCTGAACTGAGACAGTTAGATCACTGGAACACAGTAAAGAACCCAGGGGCCTAGCCCTGTGTATCAGTTGGCATAGGCTAAGTTAGCAATGAAACCCCACCAAAAAAAAAAAAAAATGGCCTAACACCTCAAATGGCACAGCATGCCAATGCTGCGGTCCACTGTGAACAGGCCACAAGTCACTTGGAGATCCAGGCTGATATCTCAAAACATGCTTCCATGATTACTAAGAAAACGAGAACTAGCACTTTTGTTCCCTTTTGTAGTCATATGGCCTTGCCACTAAGTGCCTACATAGAGAAAAACTGGAATATTTGCAAACAGCAGAAGATCCCCTGGAGAAGGAAAGGGCAACCCACTCCAGTATTCTTGCCTGGGAAATCCCATGGACAGAGGAGCCTGGCAGGCTATATGGGGTCACAAAAGGGTCAGTCACGACTTAGCGACTGAACAACAACAAGGTGATGACTAGAACATCATGCATATATGAAAACTTGGTATTTGTAGAGGAGAAACTACATAGTAACTTATCTTGGGAGAATCGATTATCCATAAAGGAGAAATAATGTGAAGTTAGAACATGAATTGTGGATTAAAGACCAAAGGGTAAAAATCAGAACTTGAATGTTTTTTTGGTTTTTATTTTTTGGCCGTGAAGCCTGGCAGGTGGGATCTTAGTTTCCTGACCAGGGATCAAACCCACTCCTGCAGTCAAAGTGCAGAGTCTCAAACCCAGGAAAGTCGCCAGAACTTTAATGTTTTAGAAGCAAATATAGGAAACCATCTTTAGTATTCTTAAAAGAATTTTCTAAGGCAAAAGAAAAAAATCCCCTAAATTAAAAAATTGATAAATATGATTAAATTAAAGTAATGATATTTTCTAGAAAAACATGACATAAACCATGAGAAAATGCCTGCAATGCATGTAACCAACAACAGCTTTGCACCTACAATATAAAAGTGACTCCTGCTAATCAGTAAGAAAAGAGCAAACCAAAAAAAAAAAAAAAAAAGAAAAGAGCAAACCATCCAGGGAAATCAGAGGCCTTTATATGTTTGTGTGTGTGTGTTGCTCATATATGATGCTCAACCTTACTAGGAATTGAGGAAATGCAAATCAAAACCAAAGTGAGATACAATATCACACACATTTAAAGTGGCAAAAAAGACAAATTTATCAAGAATTTGGAAAGGAACTCTGTTGGTAGTATAAACAGGTAGAACCATTTTGAAGAGCAATTTGGCTATATCCAGAAAGTAGAAGTTTTACTTCTAGATTTTTGCTTAGAGAAACCCTTATATACATAAGAACAAAAGCAATATTTATTGCAGTATTGTTTTAAATAGTGAAAAACTGGAAAAAGCCTTAAAGTATCTATTGACTTAGGACAAGAAATAGTTAAATTGAAGTATATTCGCACAGTGGACTTATACACCACAGAAAACTGATGAGGTAGAACTAAAAGTATCAACATGGATAAATCTCAAAACCATGATATTGAGTAATATGAGCAAATTGCAGATGGATACAATGCCATATTATTCATATAAAATTTAATTACAGGCAGGCTAATTCTGTTGTTTATTGATACATATATGTTGTAATATCTGCAGTGATAAATATGAAGGTCAGGGTAGGGATTGCCTCTGAGAAAGAATAGGATTAAGGAAGATGTGAAAAAATGAATCTGAAGCATAGATAGCAAAATGTTAACGTTTGTAAAAGAGTGATGAGTAAGGGTATTTGTTAAATTATTCTCTGTACTATTTTGTATTCTTGAACTATTTAATAATAGAAAAATAATAAGCTTAAATTTCAGCTCGGTTAAGAGACTTAGACCTAAAGTGATAAAACATATGTGAAGAAACTCCATGATTCAAACCTAGTCACGTGCTTCCTGATAGCCAGCTGTTTTTAACTTTCCCTTTTAAAGCATTCTTTAGTTGACGTTGTCTTCCTAATTCCTTGTACATCTTTGATGCAGGGGCGAGATGGCTGCAACAAGGGTTCTGTCTTAACGCTTTGGCATTCATCAACTAGCATAGGTGCTCAGGAAGCAATCAGTTGCTTGATTGCTGTTATACAGTGTTATGCATGGGACTGTGATTTCTGGCCCGTAGGTCTGAATCTAAATAATAATAAATGATGTAATGACAGAATTCTACAATCGTAATCTCTACGAAGTTTGGGTGTTAACCTTGAAAGGGAATAGTGAGAGGTCTCAATTTTTTCTGTCAACTGTCTAAGAAGACATTGTATTTTCACAAGTGTCACAGAGTGCTCCATATCACTTTGTAAACTAGTACATGGCATATTGATAGTTTTCTCTTTATTATTGTAGGTATCATGACTGGAGCATTTTATTCGGTCTCAACATTATTAAATCAAATGATACTGACACATTATGAGGTAAGCTTCTGCCAATATTGTGTTGCATGCCTGGCCAAGAACTTTTCTTCAGCAATATAATTCCTGTGAGCATGATCATAAGACTAAAGATGTATGACCTTGTTGCTATAAAAGATTTATACTTGTTTCAATTGAAATTACATTTAATCCAATTTATAAAACAACATAGAAAGCAGAAGTCATTATTGTTTTGACAATACCTCTGTCTTTTTCTTTATTCTTTTTTAAAGGGATAGTGTGACTGGTTATATGAGACACGACCAAAAATATGTAAAAGAAACCAACACAAATATAAAAAAGTAAATATCAAGCCCTGATCTCTCTTTCCTTTTGAAAAGAGAAAGCAGTTATATGTAAAAGCTATCAGATTAACTTTCTTTTCAGACACCTATGAATTGCTTAAGAATTCAAACAAAAATCATTGTCCTTCTAACCATGGAGGATCAAGAAAAATTTCCTTTTTGATTTCTCCCATATGTCAGGTTTTGTTTCGTTTGTTTGCTTTAATGTAGAATGTCCATTCACCCTAATACATGTACTGAATTCTTCATGTTATATTGTATGCTTAATTGTATCTGCTTATTTCCATTGACATGAGAAGGTATGGGAATGTGAAGGATCTTTTTGAATTTGAAGTGTCTAATCAGCTTCTTTTGAAAAAAATTTTAAGGGTGAAGAAGTGAATGCTGGAAGGATTGGACTAACACTAGTATTAGCTGGAATGGTGGGATCTATTCTTTGTGGCTTATGGCTGGATTATACCAAAACATACAAGTAAGTGAAAGCAGGCGAATGTATGGTGTACAACCTAAGGTATTTTGGTTTTAAAGGAACCTTTACTTTTCATTCTGAGAAATTTAAAAAGTATTATTATCACTGAAAGACTTGCATTCTAGACACTCTTAGGTTCCCTTCACTTCTGAATGTTTCAGTGGTCTCTGTATGATCTTACTGGTCATATTTATTTCAACTTTGAGAACTTGGATACCTTATGAACTCTCCTCTCCTCTAATAGTACTCATATATACCACTCCAGAATAGATCAGTTCTATTCTAAAAGGAGCCCTTTCTGAGAAACATTTGACTTTTGATAGAGACTTTATATTGCTGTTTTCCATGTTGTGAACTTAAAAAGTTCTTTCCTATCAAAAAATTATTAGTGAGCATAAGGCATTTTGATATGAAGTTTGTAGCTAAAGTGCCCTAAAACTGTAATAACACTTGACTATAATACTGTAATAGGTAATATGAAGATTCTGTATTAATTGTGTATCTATATGGAACCAGAAAAATGCTAATACAAAAGAAAAAGTAAGTAATGCCAACTGGGAGACTGAGAAATGCGCATTCCGAGGCAGCATCTTTTGCACTGGGCCTTAAAAGAACAGCTACATCTAAAAAAAAAGTAGAAGAATAGCTGCATTTCTTAACAGACAGAAATTTCTCATATGTTTGGGAGAAATGAATGAATGGAACTGTGAATGAATGAAGTAATGGAACTGTGTCCTCTACACCTTTCAAGGCCTAAGATATATTTGATATCATTATCTAAGCCCTTTCAAAGTACCTTTGATCTTAAAATTCTCCAAATAGTTCTCACATGATTTAAAACAGCACTTACTGGGGCTTCATTGTAATGTAATGGTAGCTTAGAATGAAACCCATTAAATTTGTAGATGAAGAGAGTATGTATAAAGGATTTATATTTATCAATAGTCTTTGGTCCATTTTATAATTAAGAAACGGATTGGCATACAGATGTGCTTTGTTGCCCTGGCTTTCTTCTCAGGATAACTGCCATTCATTCACCAAGCTTTTGTTACGTGTATTACTCTTAGCTAAGATTCGTGGGAAGCAATGTTTGATCCCTGCCCTTAGGACCTTTGCAGTCTAGTTGGGAAAAATTAAGGTGTTCATGCATGTAAAGTTCAATAATCATATAACAGACTAAAATATATGTCAAGTGTCAATCATATACATAGAAGATGATTAGGGACTTTGAAAAAAAGGAAAATCTTGTAAGCTACAGTGGTTAGGAAAAGTATTGTGGAAGAGGCAGAATTGGATCTGAATTTTGAAATACAGATAGGGAACCATCCATATCCCATTTGGTGCCATAAAAATGATTTTTATCCTTATGGGTATTCCTTTGTCTGAGCATTGGGTATGAGGTGACTTGTTGTCGGCTGCAAACTGCAACTTTTGAAACTTCAATTTAATCTTTCAAGTCCATGCCTGGTGGAACCATTTTCCATAGATAAGAGGGGGTGGGTCTTGAAATCTGAAGAATTTGTTACCATATGGACAGAGCAGAATTAGCCACATGGTTTTTATGTGCCTAAGAAAATCAGACAGAACATTAACAATTCTGTTGTTTCCGTTTTAGACACACTACTCTGACCGTTTACATTCTGTCTTTTGTTGGAATGGTCATCTTCACTTTCACACTGAACCTTGGACATATTATCATCGTGTTTGTCACTGGAGGGTTGCTTGGGTAAGCCTTGCACGTGTCAAAAGGAATGACAGTGTGCTGTTAGCGTTCTGAAGTATTACTGCTGTGGCTTTTCATTTTTTAAAGTTTATCCAGAAGCCCTTTAATTTTTTAAACTTTAAAAAAGATCTGTCTTGTGCACATAAATGTATAATTCTTTGTGTGTTAGCCGCTCAGTCATGTCTGACTCTTTGAGACCCCATGGACTATTGTCTGCCAGGCTCCTCTGTCCTTGGGATTCTCCAGGCAAGAATACTGGAGTGGGCTGCCATTTCCTTCTCCATAATTTTTTAGAACTATAAAAAATAATTCAAAATTATTTTTTGCTATGCTGTAGGTGAAAAATGGATGAGCCTTACTTAATCCAAAGTCTTTTTACTTGGCTAGAAAGACAACTGACATAGAAAACTAGGAGTATATTTTTCTCTGGAAAAAAATTAGAAATTGTTTTGCTTCCTAGTTCATGGTTTTGCTTCGCAGTTCTCCCGTCCTCAGGTTAATTGGTGAATCATAATAGTGCCTTCCTTTCACACACCAACCTCAAAACTTTCACTTATTTGATAATTTTAACAAGTCTGAGAAGTAAAGCAGTTGCATCAACAGGTGATATTGTTCTTCCAATGATTTCTTCTGTGATTTTGAATTTATTTTCTATAGTTTCTTCATGACTGGTTACCTCCCCTTGGGTTTCGAATTTGCTGTTGAAATCACTTACCCTGAGTCTGAAGGGACTTCATCCGGTCTTCTCAATGCTGCTGCACAGGTAAACCTCTGATTTCTCTTAAATCTGAGACCATTAGTTTACCAAATAATCTAATGGATAATGAATTTGACTGTAGCTTTTGTTTTTAAAAATTCCACCTTTCAATGCATGTTTCTAGAAGCCAAATCATATGAATAAAATAGTTAAGAAAAGTTCTGGGGGAAATACGGTATTTGTTTTTAAAAGCAATCTTAATAAAATATTTCTCTTATTTTATTTTAGATATTTGGAATCTTATTCACATTGGCTCAAGGAAAGCTTACATCAGCGTATGGTCCTACAACAGGGAACATTTTCCTCTGTGTTTGGATGTTTGTAGGCATCATTTTAACAGGTAAATCAGGGTGTATGCCTGCCCGAAGTACTGTGTCACATTGTCTTTGTATATTTAATTTTCATTTCTGTTGCTTCTCAAGACTTCTCAATTACCATGCCTGGAAAACAAAACCCTTGTAACAAGTGTTAGTAAAGACTTGGAATGGACAGGACTGGCCTCAGGTTCCGATTTTGCTGCTCATTAGCTGTGTGACTTTAGACAAATTACTCAACCTCTCTCGTTGTCCTTTTCTTGTTTATATTAATAGGATGTTAAAAGCTTGGCTTTAGGGCTCGCTGTGAGGGTTAACTGAGATGGTTGATGAAAAGCTCCTGGCAGGGTCTGGCACCTAGGACCTGTCTGAGCATGCAGGCCGTTATTGTAGCCGGGTCTCCCTGGGCTCAGCCCCACCTCCCCACACGTGCTCCCCTGAGTTCCACCCCTGGTTGGGGAACTAAGATTTGACAAGCCAAGGGGCATGGCCAAAAGAAACAGAAGCAAGACTTATATCCAGTAGTGCTTCCAGGCCCATGTTGGCTTCTAGTGTGATTTTACTTTGTTAGTTTCTTTCTGCATTCCTTATCTACATGAGAGATAGAAGCCATGGAGACTTGGAGAGGGATTGTTGTTTGTTTGTTTGTTTTTTAATCTGCTATAACTTAATTCAAGGATGGACTCTCAACAGGAAGATGTGAATATTTGTTGAACACCTGGTCATCCTTTTTGAAACCCCCAGTATGAGCTCTTAGCAGTGATAAGCACTTACTTTGGAAATATACAGCCACTTAAGGTCACTGTCATTTATTCACTGCACTCACAGGGACTGAGTGCACTGTTTCCTCAAAGAAAAAACCCTGCCAAGGAAGCATTTCCCCCCATTCTCTTCAGTTAGTAAAACGAAACACATAAAACAGTGTTTTGTAACTGAACATATATAACATAGTGCACAAACTACCTTGACTGCTGATCTGTCATAAGTGATTCCTTATTGATTCTCAGTTTCTAGGAAAGTAACACATAGGTATCAAATAGGGTGTTATTGTTGCACCAAAAAAGGGAACAGTTTTGTGTTCTGTATTCACTTTATTTTATAGTAAGATTCATAAATGTTAATTCAAACAGGTCAAGTACAGAAAATTAAGTGTAAAAAAAAGATCTTTAAAATCAGCTTTACATTGACAGTTTTACCATTTAAAAATGCTAATTAATGTCTCTTATGTGTTGAGTGTTTTACTGGAGAGAATATGATGGATTTGTATCCAATAGTTATTTGTATAGACAAAGGAAAGAGGACTGAGAGATTGCTGAAGTGTGCTAAAGGTGATACTTTTTCTTTTCTACATTTTTTTCTGGAAATTGTTGGCAGGTCTTATTTTGACAGAGGAATTACCATTTAAATGCAGTGCATTCTGCTTTCCAGTGTTGATGTTCTCTGTTAAGCACTAAGCTTCACATATATAACATGTATCCACTCCTTAGCCCATTTATGCACATTGAAAAAAAATGTTTCTAAACATGTCATAGTGTTTCTCAGTTCTTTGATTAATATTAATGGTAGAGAGATACACAATTTCCCCCTGTAAAAAAATGAGTAGCATCTTTGATTTAGTGGACTTGTAGAACAGCGTTAGGCAGACCAATTGATGTCAATCACTGGTGCAGTTTAGAGAGTGAGTGAGTGAGTGATTTTTGGCTGCGCCAAATCCTCATTGCTGTGCACAGGCTTCCTCTAGTTGGAGCAAACCGGGCGCAGCTCTGTTGGCGTGCGAGCTTCTCGTTGCGGTGGCTTCTCTCGTTGCAGAGCATGGCCTCTAGGGCTCGCGGGCTTCAGTAGTTGCAGCACGTGGCTCATTAGTGGCATCTCACGGGCTCAGAGCACAAGCTCGGTAGTTGTGGTGTGTGGGCTTAGTTGCTCTCCGGCATGTGAGATTTCCCCAAATCAGGGGCGGAATCCATGTTTCCTGCACTGACAGGTGGATTCTTACCCACTGGACCACCAGGGAAGCCCAAGAGTGATGTTTTACTATCAAGTTGCTTGTAATTGGGAGCTCGTTACATCACCAGTTTCTTTAAAATCATTTAAATGCAGTCAGAAAGGCCATTTTACATATATCCAAGTATCTTTGTGTAAATATCTGAATTTCTAAAATGTTGCTATCAGTAACAGAGTTCTGAGAGGTAGTGTGACTTTCTAAGGAAGCAGTAGTCTAACTTTTAAGACTGATTTTACTTTTACCTTTCAACTTTGCTTTATGGCCAATTAGATTACTTAACTACCCACCAATCTGTACCTTTTCTTATTTTACACTCTCTGTGTAGTCTGTGGCTTTAACTACCACATTAACACTAGTAATTTTCAAATCTGTACCTCCAGACCCTGATCTCTTTTATATTTCAGACCAATATGTCTAATCATAGATTTATCCTTGGACCTGAATGTCCCACGAGATTTTATGCTCAACCTGTCCAGAACAGAACTTAACCATCTTCCCACCATACCTGTCCTTTTTGTATTTTCGGTTATGTAACTAGGACCAAAGACAGTGAAAGTGTGGGTCACTCTGTCACGTCTGATTCTTTGTGACCCCATGGACTGTAGCCAATACCAGGCTCCTCTGTCCATGGAATTCTCCAGGCAAGAATACTGGAGCAGGTTGCCATCCCCTTCTCCAGGGGATCTTTCTGACCCAAGGATCGAACCTGGGTCTCCAGCCTTTGAAGACAGTTTTCTTCACAGTCTGAGCTACCAGGAAAGCCACCATCCATTCAGTTGCCCAAGCAAGTCTCCCACTTCCCCCTCCCCAACCCCTGTTTTTCATATCCTTTCAAACCACTGAGTCTTACTGGTTCAATTCTAAAATATCTCTGAATTCTGTCCCTGTATCACCATTTCTCATATATTCAGGCCTTACCATCTCCAGCAGGATGAAGGGCTCTTGACTGGCTTTGCTGCCTCTAGCCTTGTTGCAGATCACACCCCGGCACACACAGCTGCCAGAGTGAGCTCCCTCACACACAGCCCGACCGTGTCCTCCCCGCTCACTCCCAGTGTCCTGCCCACCCGGCCTCCTCTCTTGCCGTCTCCCTCTTGTACTTGATGCTCCACTGATCGCAGACCACCACAGGTGCCGAGAATACACTCTACTCTTCCTGTCCTGATCTCTCAGCATGTACTGGTTCTCTGCCTGCCTGGAATGCCTTCCCCTCCCCTCTCCTCTGCTTGACAAGTTCCCACTCATTTTCTCAAGTTTCAGTTCAAACACATCTCTTCTTTAGGTAAGCTTTTCCTTATTTCCTTCGGCTGACACAGACATTTTTCCCCATGCTTCCACGATATCCTGTCTGAGCCTACATTACTGGAGTTGCTATACAATGTTAAAATTGTTTGCACGTCAGTGTTTCCCATAGATTGCGGTTGTGTAGTCACTCCATTGTGTCTGAATCATTTGCAACCCCATGGATTGTCACCCACCAGGCTCCTCTGTCCATGGGATTTCCCAGGCAAGAATACTGGAATGGGTGCCATTCCCTTCTCCAGGGGATCTTCCCGACCCAGGGATCAAACCCAGGTCTCCTGATTGCAGACAGAATCTTTACCATCTGAGCCCCCAGAGGAGCCCTTCCCTAGATTAGAGGGTCCTTTAGGGAAAGAATTGCTCTCTTCATCTTTGTGTCTCGGTTCTTGGCATCCTGTATTTGTTCACTAATGAATGACTTGCTAATTAAGTTAATGACTTAGGTAGTGTCCTTTTTTCAGGCTACAAGAATGTTATGGAATATTATGGTTCTATAGTGTGCTACATTTGACAATATCAAAAAAGATTTTGCACGGCTTAGAAGAAAGTAGATTTATACATACTCTGTGGTAACTTCATTGATCTTTCTCTGTTTGCAGCATTAATCAAGTCCGATCTGAAAAGACACAATATAAATAAAGGAATTACAAATGGTGATGTTAAAGCTGTAAGTAGTGAATATTTTTATGATTATACTATTGAGAAATGTGTGCATAGAATAAGTATAAACCCATCTATGTAGTCAGCTTGTTTTTTAATTCCTGAGTCAACTGTGGATCTGTCATAATGACATATGCCAGATATGTAATGTAAATTTTTTATCTTCTTATTCTTTCTACAGGTACCAGTTGATAGCCCCACAGATCAAGAATCAAAAACTATCCTGATGTCCAAACAGTCAGAGTCAGCAATTTGACGTGAAGGAAAATTTAACATCATGTGATAACTGAGTAGTAAAGCCTGGTTTATAGGTTATGGAGAATGGACACTTACTTGAAAATTATTATGTGACTCCTAAATGCAGTTACTGTTTTTATTTAATTGTTAATTTAAAGTACTTTTGCTGGCATCATTTTAACATAGAAAATAGAAGCTTAGGAGGCTTTCTAAAATGATCATATGGAGGTCCACACCCTTCAAATTGCATAGGAGTACATGCAATTTGTTTATATAAATATGCTATCTAGTGGAACCAAGTGAACAGTATATTCCTAATTATCTCCCTTTCCATCCTTGATAGCTCATTTGGTAAAGAATCCGCCTGCAATGCAGGAGACCCCGGTTCAATTCCTGATCAGGAAGATCCCCTGGAGAAGGGATAGGCTACCCACTCCAGTATTCTTGGGCTTCCATTGTGGCTCAGCTGGTAAAGAATCCGCCTGCAATGCGGGAGACCTGAGTTTGATCCCTGGGTTGGGAAGATCCCCTGGAGAAGGGAAAGGCTACCCACTCCAGTACTCTGGCCTGGAGAATTCCATGGACTATCCATGGAGTCGCCAAGAGTCAGACACGACTGAGCGACTTTCACTTCACTTCACTTTGCGTTGTTCATACCAACTGTCTAAGCCCCTCAGTGTGAAAACAGTATACCAATATGATACTTTTAACCCACCAAATGACACTGTTGTGATGAGACTCTCAGATGACCTCTATGATTCTTCCCATTTCTTGCCATTCTCATTAGAAACTGCTTTGTAACAGGTACTGTCTGTGGTCAACTGTCAGTGTGTAGACGGAACTCATAACTTTGGTCTTAGGCTTATGTTCTCATTAAGCAAAGACAGACTCGTCGCCCTGAGTTCGTCTCTGTGCTGCCTTCCCAGTCATTATAAGAAAGCTAACACTATATTTACTATATTTTTTCACTCCAACTTGAAATTGAGTAGTTTTGTATACATCATCTTTTTTACTGCCCCCTCCTCAGTATGTAACTTTCTTGTAAAAACATTTCACCCTGTGTTTCCCGGACTTTTTCATGGTTTCTTGTATCACACATTATACTTTGGCCTTGACGATTCCTGAGATAAGGAAATCTCTAATAACTTCAGGGAGACCGGGTGTTCCCAATTAGGGGAGACCTCTTGAAATGCTGTCTGTGGTGATTCTACAACATGGTTTCTTCAGCCCATTCTCCTCCTCCGAGACCTGTGCCCACGTGTGGCGCCCTCGGTGCGCTGGGCTCTGGGACTCCTTTCTTCACCACAGAATGCGCACAGGCTCCGGCCTGCTGGAACAGCCTGCTGTTTTCTGTGCTCAGGGTAAGGAAAACAGGACCAAATGTGTTTCCACAGTGCCTACCACTGTGCCTCGTTTACAGTGAGAATCTCAATGTTGTTCACATCCTGGCTCTCTAAGCTGATAGGGAACATCTTTAGAGTAATGACATTGAAACAGCCATAATATTTATATTATGTCCACGTAAACACAAAAAGCCAATCAGGTAGTCCCTTGAATACCCTTGAAGTGAATTAGCAATTCTGATTTGGGCGTGCTATGTGCATTGCTTAATATTAAAATTATAGCAGTCTCCATAACCAAATGACTATAAATTATGTGGAATCTTACCCTGGAGAACGTGTTACCAGAAGAACTTAGCTGGGAATCAGGAACTTCAGGTCTGTGTCCTGGTGGATCTGTTTCTAGCTTCCCTGTAAATCTCCAGGCAGCATTTTCCTCATCTGTATATAATGAATGTAAAATCTGATCTCAAAGATCATTTTTTGAATCTTAAATGCACTCATCAGGGGATAGACCAAATCATTGTACCATAGGAACTTAAATCTAGCTGGAGGAAAATTCCCTGGACAATTGAATAAACAACTATGATTGTTACCTTGTAGATACGGGGAATTTAAAGTGTGTTTTCAGCCTTTTTGTTCAGTTGGTGATAGCTCAGGCAGATGATACTGTATCATTAACTTCCTTAGATAGTCACATCACAGATTTTATGGCCAAAAATATATTTTAAGGTCCCTCCTTTAAATGATTATTTTTATTTTTAAACTGTCAATGTTGTTTCAAATAATCATGTCCTTGTCAAGTTCCTGAGGTTTTGAACAAATTACAGATAGAAGTTGAAATATTTTATTCCTGAAAAGCATATATACATATATGTCATGTGTATTTGTCCTAGTTAATGATTAGAAAAAGAATGAAATATTATGTGGCAGAACACAAAATGAATTGATAAGTTTTTTGTCTTTTTAGTTAAATTTGTAATGTGTCAAACAAGAATATCATATAATTCTATGTTGTATCTTTGAAAAATGGAGTTGGGTAACTCGTGTACATTTTAGTTGAGTGATTTGAGAAAGAAACTGGATGTTTTCAAAGTATTTTGAAATGTTGCAAATATAGCTTTTGCCTTTTGTGAATGTTGGAGAAATATCTTTAAAAATGTGTTTTAAAAATATGTGTAAACTTATAGAGTATTGCCTGAAGAATGCCTGTCTGTCTTAAGTCATTTTTTATGTTCTAATTTCTGCTCTTTGTACTATTTAGCTATATGCTTGTTCTTCAGTATTTCAGACCTCAGATAAATTTATTTTTTTAATGTTAATTTTGTATGGCTTTTTTTTTTTTTAAGTTCTGGTACTTCAGTACACTTGGGGAATAGAAAAAGGGTTATAAGATTTCAGAATGGGCCAAGAGAGAAGTGGTTTGTGGATTACCAGGTAACAAATCTCACCAGGGTCAGGGTCGGGGTCGGGGTCAGGGCCAGGGTCGGGGTCAGGGTCAGGGTCGGGGCCAGGGCCGGGGTCGGGGTCAGGGTCAGGGCCAGGGTCGGGGCCAGGGTCAGGGTCGGGGTCAGGGCCAGGGCCGGGGTCGGGGTCGGGGCCGGGGTCGGGGTCAGGGCCGGGGTCAGGGCCGGGGTCGGGGCCGGGGTCGGGGTCGGGGCCGGGGTCGGGGCCGGGGTCAGGGCCGGGGTCAGGGCCAGGGTCAGAGCTAGAGCTGAGCCACAAAGGAGCCAGGGCTCAGTCTCTCCCCTTGCTTCAGTGTCTGCCTCTCACTGGCCAGTCTGGCGGCCCCGCCGTGAGCCATCATGGACACTCCACCTAAGCTCCAGACTGTTCTCTGCCTTTTTTCTCCTGCTAGCATGTGCCTGTGTGAGACCTTATAGCCTAGAATATGTGTCACTGTTCCTAAAGGCCTTGTTGCTTAATAAAAACAATTTACAGGTTTCTTCATTGAAAATACATGTTCATGCTTCATAACATTAAATGAGATCATACATGAAAAGCATTTAGAAGTAAGGTTGATACAGTCAACACTCAAAGAGTTGGGTATTATTTTAATCATTAATGACTGGTAACTAGCAGCAATTGCTACCTACATGTATTTAGATTTGAAGAGAGGCATTCAGGTGACTTACATCAAAAGAATACCAGTGAAGGAAATACGAGGTCCTGTGAAGGATCTACAGAGAAGATAATTGGGGAGCAGGGCAGCGGAGGCTGTTCTATTGAAATCAGACCAGGCCCGGGGGCTGCCCACTCCAAATCCTCCCAAAGCTAGTCTTGTGTCCTAATAAATAGGTTACTATCTGTTAAGGAAATTGTAATGAAAACTAGAAGCCAGATAAAAGATTAGTCTACAGCAGAGACTCCCAAAGTTTTTTTGTTTTTTTTTTATTGTTTGGCTGTGATGGGTCTTAGATGAGGCATGTGGGATCAGTTCCCTGACCAGGGCTCAAACCTGAGCCCCCTGTGTTGGGAGTGTAGCGACTTAGCTGCTGGGCCACCAGGGAAGTCCCTCCCTAAGGTTTTGATCTCAGAATTCTTACACACTTAAAAATCCTTGAGGATCCCAAAGAACTTCTGTTTTATGAGTTATATGTCAATATGAATTATATTAGAAACAAAACCAAACTGTCCATTTAAAAATAACTATATCTTCACAAAAACACATGAAAAGATGCTCAACATCACTCATTATCAGAGAAATACACATCAAAACCACAATGATGTACCATTACACACCAGTCAGGATGGCTGCTATCCAAAAGTCTACAAGCAATAAATGTTGGAGAGGGTGTGGAGAAAAGGGAACCCTCTTACACTGTTGGTGGGAATGCAAATTAGTACAGCCACTATGGAAAACAGTGTGGAGATTTCTTAAAAAGCTGGAAATAGAATTGCCATATGACCCAGCAATCCCACTTCTGGGCATACACACCGAGGAAGCCAGATCTGAAAGAGACACGTGCACCCCAATGTTCATCGCAGCACTGTTTATAATAGCCAGGACATGGAAGCAACCTAGATGCCCATCAGCAGGCGAATGGATGAGGAAGCTGTGGTACATATACACCATGGAATATTACTCAGCCATTAAAAAGAATTCATTTGAATCAGTTCTAATGAGATGGATGAAACTGGAGCCCATTATACAGAGTGAAGTAAGCCAGAAAGATAAAGACCATTACAGTATACTAACACATATATATGGAATTTAGAAAGATGGTAACGATAACCCTATATGCAAAACAGAACAAGAGACTCAGATGTATAGAACAGACTTGTGGACTCTGTGGGAGGAGGCGAGGGTGGGATGTTTCAAGAGAACAGCATCAGCATCGAAACATGTATATTATCTAGGGTGAAACAGATCACCAGCCCAGGTTGGGTACATGAGACAAGTGCTCGGGCCTGGTGCACTGGGAAGACCCAGAGGGATGGGGTGGAGAGGGAGGTGGGAGGGGGGACCGGGATGGGGAATACATGTAAATCCATGGCTGATTCATTTCAGTGTATGACAAAAACCACTGCAATGTTGTAAAGTAATTAGCCTCCAACTAATAAAAATAAATGGAAAAAAAAAACTATATCTTGACATAAATTTCATTATTATGAAAATAACTTTTCTAAAACAAAAGAAAGGTAGTGAGACAAGTGACCCTTTAATGTTTAGAGAGTACAAAATTCTCCAATGTCTAGTGTCATAGAAGATAGCTGGATTCTTAGATTCTTCATTCAAACTGTAAAGATTCCCTATTTTGACATGTTTGAAGAAAAGTCTTGCACATATGTGGACTTGGAAAAGTATTTCACTAGTCTTTTCAGATAATTGTGGCTATTCCTAGCATTTTACTAGCCTTTTCAGATAATTGTGGATATTCCTAGCATTTCACTAGCCTTTTCAGATAATTGTGGATACTCCTTAATACTATACCAAAATCTGAATTGGTAGTGTCTTAAAGTGTCTTAAAGTTGCTGTGAAATCTGAAACCAGAGTTCCTACTTTGTTATGTTAAAACCTAATGTTCTCTCTTGTTCTATAAAAATACTTCGTAGTATTATGCACTTGGAAAATAGGATTTCACTGAAGTATGCAGCTTTTGCAAATATTGATATATTTCATCATATGATGCCAGACAAATCACCTCTGATCTCATTAGAAAGTCTTTCAAGTACCGGGAAGCAGTCAGGCCCATATGCATATTCTAAGTCTTGTGGCAGACGCAGGATTTCCAAAACGCTAATTTTATTTTGAAAACTTGGTTCTCATCACTGGGTAAAAAATTCTGCCAGTTGTTTCTTGAAGTGACTCACTTTGTGGTTCCTTGAGGAAATACCTGCCAATGCCCAAGTCTGGGTAACTGTAATTTATGTCAGTCATTATTTCAAGTGAAAATGACGGTCTACGAAAATCAGGCTGTAGATCAGCTTGTGACTCAAATAATTGTCCGTGGGCTTTTC